GAGAGAGAGAGAGAGATTGAGATTATCATTTTTTTAAAATTTTTTTTATTTATTTGTGTGTGTGTGTGTGGCCAGCTCAGCCCATCAGGGGGCGGGGCTGTCTGGCATGTGGTGCTGGGGGATTGAACCGCGGTCCCTGTGCTTTACTAAGCTTGTTCTAAGTAGGTGCTTTAGACCACTGAGCCATCTCACCAGCCCCGAAATTATAATTTTATACCCATCTCTGCTCTCCTAAACTCTCATAAACTTATAGTCACCTTCATTCCCCTACATCCACAATGACTGAAGTCCTTTCCACTTCACTTTCTTGATATATAATTAATTTTGTCCCTCTTGCTACAATTCATTGCTTCTAGCTAGTTCAGGTCCCCTTACTGTCTGCCAGGAATATGTCATAGAGCTTCCTCCTCACTGGGTCTTGGCCTCCAGTTTCTCTGGCTCCAATCCATCCTTGATCTTATCAGCAGTGTGATCCTTCCAAAAAGAAAATCTGACCATCTCTCACACTCTCTGCACAGGTCAGAGGCTAAGCTTCCAGGCTGCTGGCATTTGAGCCTCTCTGTGTTAGCTCATGGCTAATTCTTCAGCCTACCTCTTCCCACACCTAGCTCTGGGGTATCTGTCTCTGTCCCGCCCTCCCCGTATCTATTTCTTTCTCTCTCCTCTCTTTCCCTCTGTCTCTCTCCTCTCTCTCTCTCTCTCTCTCTTTCTCTCTCTCTCTCTGTGCATGTACTTGTATTTGTAGTCCTAGTAGTACTAGAGACTGAATGAAGGCCTTAATGCTAAGAAACTACTACAAACTATACCCTGAGCTCTTTTTCAGACAAGTCTTGCTAAGTTTCTCCAGTTGGTCTTAAATTTGTAATCCTCCTGTCTCAGCTTCTGTGCCAAGTTTCATTTCTGACTGTTGTCTCATGCTGCCATGAGGAGGGGGAAGTCCCCATATCTCACCTACTCCTATTTTTTCATTTGGCAAATATTTATTTATCTCTTGAGTCTTTTTCTCCATGGGGTCTTTTCTGAATCTTTTCTCTCCATTCCCAACACACTTTGCACAGGCTCCAAATGCACCCCTCTTTGTTCTGCTTGTCTCTCACTAAGAGCTCTGGAGTGGTGTATACTCCTCACTTTCACTTCCTCAGAGCTCAGCACACAGGAACATCTGAGGGTATCTCCAGTAATTTTCCATCTTTCTACTGCCTACAACTGTGCCAAACCAGTGCTGAGGCCCTTCTCACTCTCCTGAGACCTCCTGGCCTCCAAATTCACCAAGCGAAGTGGCTATGGAGGAAGGAGAAGCATCAGAGGAATTTCCTCTGTAATCCCTGCAAACAGCTCCATGTTTCTACTCCCACCTCTCAGCTTCCTCAGAAAGAAGTGACATCTTCAACCTCAGCAACATTTAGCCTTCTGCACTGTAGCCTGTCTGACAACACCTATCATGGCGCCCACCATTCCTGACTTCCCTGCCCCTGCATTCATCCCTGCTCTAGGGCCACTCTTCCATATGAGGTTT